TTTTTGCCGTAGTCAAATGTAAACTGCTATAAGCGGTTTACTGAAAATTAGCTAATCGAACGGAACATGGGAGATGAGTGAAAAGAACTTAATTTTGGATAATTTTTCGGTTCCGTGTAGGAAAAACGTCACGATAGAGTGGGGGGGGGGGTAGTTTTTTGCTCGATTTAGCGTGACATACTTAATGCATTGACCCTGAGAGGAATCACCACAATTCATGCATTTAGCTGGCATGTAGCAATTTTTAGTTCCGTGACCCCATCCCTGGCACTTACGGTATTGGGTAAGTTTTTGGAAATTTCCTCCAGTCTTCCTGAGGTGTTCCCACTTTAATCGGACATGGAGCATAAGGCTAGCTTTTTCCAAGGCCTTAAGGTTGTTTAGTTCACTAGACTTGAAGTGAACTAAATAAAAATCATTAGAAATCACGTTGCGCGAATCGCCAGGACAGGATTTCATTTTCATTTTAATGACTTGGAGTGGGACAACTCCAAGTAATTTGACCAGTTCATCTTAGATCTGATCCAGGGATTCACCACTGGGCAGTACTTTCATGACAACCTTGAACACGTTCAGTTTTGGTGTCGTTCGTAAGTAAAAAATTTGTGCTGCTTCTCAGTAAGATACTTGAGAAGACATTTAAATCCGTCCAAGGTTTCAGCCATTCGATATTCACCCCGACGTCCAATTTGTAGTGAAAATTTAACTTTCACGAAGTTCAAAAGTTCCATGCGAAGAGCATAGAAATCGGAAGTGGTTATCACAATAGGGGGAATCTTTTCCTTCTTGGCATTAAGCCGGGAAAGTTTACTAGAATTTTTCTTGGATGATGGATCATTCTCATCATCCGTGAGCAAATCAAATTGATTACTCAAATTAATTTCATCAGAAGGGGGATCAAGAGTTTGCCCCTTTCTTCTGCGTTTAGGCGCCATGGCGGCAGTAAATTTTTATCCAAATCGACTTTCAAGCAGATTACTATAAGAATCTGAAGGATCGAAGTGGAATTTTTCAAATCGATATCCAAGAAGGATTACCAAGGTCCAAACAAGGAACGAAGAGGAATAAGAGTTGAAACAAGTAGAAATTTTACAGGTAGAGCACTGAAAAGCGCTGTTCAAATTTGTTGTAGCTATATGCCTTGTTCAGACTGGAGAGTTATAACATGTTATAACGGTTGTCAAATAATTGCAACACAGATACCACCATCAAGATAGCGCTATAACATGTTATAACTCTGTAGTCTGAACGTACTATTAGGTAGTAGTAACACTTCCTTCAGCAAAAAAGTAAATAGATCCAAGAGAGCATGATGCGGACAGAAAAATCTATCATTTTTCGCATCTGCTTGCATCGAGCATCATCTTTTTGCAGGAAATCGTCAGAATCGTCATCAACCTTCTTTCTATCTACTCAGCGTGTGCGCAGCTAACCACAGCAAAACAAAATCTTTCCTGCATCGCAGATAAAGGGTGATACGGTCAAAATTTGGTCAAGGGAAAACGCGTGTAAATCGGTGAAATCGTTTATTTAAAAAATCAAATTAAATTTCTTTCTCAAGTTCAATTAGTATAAAATTCAGGAAAAATATTCAGTTAGGCTTCCGCTTTTCCAAATCCGAATTGCCGGGCCTTACGCTTGACCCCTGCCATCAAATTTTGTACAGCCACCTTGTCCACCTTCTTCGCCGCAGAAAGCCAGTTTGCCTTGAACTGCTGCTCGCCCTTAGCAGTTTTTTTGGTCTTCTTTAGGTTCCGCTTGACAATAGCCCAGTATTTCTCAATTGGGCGGAGCTCTGGCGTGTTGGGAGGGTTCTTGTCCTTGGGAACCACCTGCACGTTGTTGGCGGCGTACCACTCCATGGCCTTTTTACCGTAATGGCAAGATGCCAAATCCGGCCAAAACAGTACGGAACAACCGTGTTTCTTCAGGAAAGGCAGCAGACGTTTATTCAAACACTCTTTCACGTAAATTTCTTGGTTGACAGTCCCGGAAGCTATGAAAATGCTGCTTTTCAAGCCACAGGTACAGATGGCTTGCCAAACCAGATATTTCTTTGCGAACTTTGACAGTTTCATGTGCTTGAAAACATCTGCTACCTTTCCCCTTCCTTTTGCCGTATAAAACTCCTGTCCCGGAAGCTGCTTGTAGTCGGCTTTGACGTAGGTTTCGTCGTCCATTACCACGCAGTCAAACTTCGTCAGCATCGTCGTGTACAGCCTCCGGGATCGCGCTTTGGCCGTCGTATTTTGTTTATCATCGCGATTTGGAGTCACTACCTTCTTGTAAGTCGATAGTCCGGCTCGTTTTTTGGCTCGATGCACGGTTGTAGACGATACACTCAGCTTATTTGCGGCATCTCGGAGAGAGAGGTTAGGGTTTCGCTTGAAACTACCGGCAACTCTCTTTGTCGTATCAGCGGCTTCCGGTTTTCGGTTTCCCCCCGATCCAGACTTCCTGGCTGTCGACAAACGTTCCCCAAACACTTTAATTACATTTGTAACGGTTGATTTGGCAACTTTTAGCGATTTTGCCAACTTTGCGTGCGAGTAGCTCGGATTTTCGCGATGCGCGAGCAAAATTTTGATACGCTGCTCTTCTTGCTTGGACGGCATTTTGACAACTGAAGAGTGAATTCCAAAATCAAAATAGGAGCAACATTCTACACACACACACCTTCAAAATGAGGGGTGTTCAGGTTTTTTAAATGCAAAATTGAAAGAAATACGTCAAGTTGATATTGACCAAATTTTGACCGTATAACCCTTTAGTCACCCCCTCGGTAAAACATTAGAAAAGTTTTTTAAATAGGGGGCTGACAAAATCGGGTCATTACTGTATATGTCTCCAGAGGGATAAACTTGGTTCCCTTATTATTCTCAAGAACTGACATCTATTAAATTGACCTGAAAAAGAACTGGCATCACTTATGAGTTTGAAATGCAGTGGCTTGCTTAACGCTTCAGTGGCGCCACCTTGGCAAATTTATTTGCAACCTTATTTGCGAAGAATGTGATTGTGAGTCTTATGTCTGTTTGTCTGTGGTTGTACTATTTGCACCGACGAACCGACATGCCACTGAAGCATTTCGTTTGACCGCAATTCGATTTGTTAAATGAGCGATTTGATCTGTCCAACGGGCGATCAGATCTGTCAAACGAGGTGAGACGCAAACCAAGTCAATATAAATTTTATGTGTGTTCGTGTCCTTGCTCATGATATGTCGCGATCGGATGAGTAGATGGCGGTGGTGTTTAACGTATTTTTAATACGGCGTCTTGGGCAAGCTTTTGAAAGTAGCTTCAATCAGCTGTCACGTCGGTTCGTCGGTGCAATTTGTACGGAAAGTCGGGGAAATTACGGCTTCGGCACTTCTTTACCTAGTATCGAATGAAATGAAGTCCTTGAGCACCGACTTTTTGCATGAAGGCGCATTATATTCCAGCCAGAACATCGTTTTGCAAAAAAATTAACTTCATTTAGCCCCCGACGATAATAGGTAAAGAAATGCCGAAGCCGTGATTTCCTCTAACCTAGATTTTTTAGTTCGACCCGTAACTTGAATTAACATCCATACCTCTCACGCCAAAGTCACGAGTTGAATTCTCATCCCGGACAACTCACGAATGACCCAAGAGCAGGTTTGAAAAAGCTCATTACTACTGAAATGCTACTTTCGAAATTATGAAACTATGAGATAGGGGAAATGGATGTAATGTCGGCCTGAATGCCCTTAATTTGGGCCCATACATAAATTTAGCAATCGACTAAATTTTCAATAGCGACCAAAAATATCCATTAGTACCGTCCTAATGACGTGTTCATCTAGATAAAATTGATAAATAGCAGATTTTTAGCGATAGGCCCAACCTTAAATCCATAGGCCAACATTAGAGCCATTTCCCGTATTATTATAATATTTTTTATATGTAAGATTCAAGAAAAGGAGGTAAAGTTTGTGTATGACACATAAAACCTGTAAATTTTGCTTTCAGAGTGTCACAATTAGCTATTTTAGCTGTAATGAGTTATCGTGATGTGTGAGTACAGTAGAACCCCGTTAGTTTCAATAGCTAGAACGGCAATTAAACGGTGCTCTTTTATAATTTTTTTAACTGGTGCCATCACATAGGTGTCCAATGAAGTTTCGCACATTTGTAGGGGTACCAGTTAAACAAATTCTTAATGCGCGCTGTTTAATTGCAATTTTAGCTGTTCAAACTAACGTGGTTCTACGGTACCATTCGTTATAGTCAATCGCTAGTTGTGGCACTCTGGAAGCGAAATTGACAGGTTTTAAGTGTCATACGCATACTTTACCTCCTCTTCTTGCATCTTACATATAAAAACCTATAAAAACTATTATTATATTATTTATAAGTTTCATAATTTCAAAAAGTAGCATTTTAACTGAAATAAGCATATTCAAGCCTGTCCAAGAGTGACTAAAAAAAAAGGTATGGGGCCATCCAATAATTACGTTATCACTTAGGGGGTGGGTACATTATCTTACGTTTTCTTATCTGGGAGGGAGGGAGTCTTAGAAATATCTTACGTAAGAATGATGAAGTCATATACCCGGGTGGGGGGCTGGTGTTTTGAAAATCCCACCCAAGTGCTTGAGTAATTATTACATGACCATACACTATTAAAATAAGTGATTTTTTGAAATTATAAAACTCCCAGTAAGTAAGTAGAAACTGCTATTAGCTATTATTGCTATTGTTGATAGTGATCGATCGAAAAAAACCTATGCTGTCAAATAGAATTCTTCTTAATCGAAATTGATTTCGCCTGCGTTGTGATGATCCCATTCCTTTCGTACGCAAGGCTACAGACAAAGAAATAAATCTGAACGATCAACGGAAATGAAGTCAAAATCCCTACTCTTTACGTTCCCCTAAGGCAAGAAACAGCAACCCAAAGCATACCAACCAACATGAAGAAACTTTTTTAAACTTTAGTAGTAGGTATGTACATGCAACTCTCTAAATACTCACCATCCCAACCGGAACAAACTTCTCCAGCAGTTCCTCCGTGTCGCTGTTGTTCGCTAGCATCTCCGCCTTGACGACGTTGGCGAGCAGTTTCTCCGCGAACATCTTGCTTCCGCGCCACACAACCGTCGACTTCCTCCACCACCGCTGCTAGAGCACCGTCGTCGCCGCGGTCGTCGTCGTCGTCTTCGCTGCCTCTGCTGTTGCTGCTGCTGATGCAGTTCGTTATACCCAGCTTCCTTCCTCCCTCCTCGTCGACGACCCACCAGTCGTTGCTGCTGTTGGTGCTGAATGCTTCTTCTTTCAAGGTTGACTTCTTGCTGTGGTTGATGCACGTACCACCCCACCACTACCGCCCGGACCACCGCCAATTTCCGTCGCCAACCACCGTTCTTATTCGGTTCGATTCGCTGTTTCACTGTTGCTTTTGCCTTTTCCTCTGTCGCTTGGGCTTTCACCGGCAGCGGCCGCAGAGATGGAATTTGCGAAACAAAACAACTCAACTGATCTGGTCGGTCGGTCGGTCGGTCGGTCGTCGAGAGCACAGAGATGATCGCGAACGAGTATATTGAGAAGAGGAAAGGAAACAATCGGAAAGATGAGAAAAAGGGAAAACTTGGATAAATGTGACGCTGTTGGGAACTGGAAAACCGTGAAACATGTAACTGCGATTGTCTTCTGATGTCGGTTTCGATTCGGGTGGCTTTCAGTTTGATCGAGGTGTATCCTTTGGGCATGGCACAGGTTTCTTCTGAGATTATTTTAATCAATTGATTGGACTTTTAATCCAATATAAAACAATGGATTAAATAAAGTAAAAAACGGACACTTATCCTTACGCGGAGAGGAATTAAAATCCAATTAAACTGCCTCGATCTAAAGAATAGTTCGAAGTTTTTGCGATAGCGGGACGCGGAAGAAAAACTAAGAATTCAATTTCCGTCTCCAGCTCAAGTGACTTCGGGTGCGCCGATTATAACCTAATTTGCACGGTTCGCTCTCTTCAAGGATACTCCACTTCCGGAGTGCTCTAGTTTGTCGAAGGATTTCACTTCGCATTATCGGCTCTCACAATTCCAATCAGTCCCTCAAACACTTCACCAATGATACACCAGGTCACCGAACCGTCCCTGCCACTGCCAGCTACAAATTCCTTTGGAAATGCGATATAATTTCTCCATCTTGACGACGAGCTCGTTCACTCGCATACACACTACAGCAGCAGCGGGACATTCCGTTTCCGTTCGACTCCGAAACGGAAGTGCCTTTCGACGTAAATTCCAGCACTTCCGCCGGAGGACCACTCCGGCCACCACCCGAAACCGATGCACCGACTTTCGACGGACGCGAATGTTATTGTTTCACCCGGTTCTGGTCGATATTTACCAATAAGAAAGCGATTTAATGCGGGCTGCTCAATTTTGGCGTACATTGAAGACCTTTATTTTGGATTTGGGACTGAACACAGTCGTGGGAAATATTTTGACAGCTCGACTCGCATCATCGCCAGTGTGCGTGACGTCGTGCGATAGGTGATGATGATGCTTTCGATGCTTTCGGATTGCAAGGCCTATCAAGTTCGAGAGGTTACTGAAACCTGTAGAGCTTTTTAGTACAGAAACGAAGCTTTTCTGCACTGGAAAAAATATATAAGCAGGGGTGGCAGGGACACGCAATACAAAGAACGTTAAAATGCAATCAAAAGTAATTAGAGTAATTAATGCGTTTTGAAGTAAATTGTACTGACGGTAATTAAAATTAACTATCCGTACTTAATGTAATTAAAAGTATTGACGTCTATAAAATAATTAATAACTCGTGATAGCAAAAGTGGTTATCGGTGATGAACCAGCCTACGGCTGAAAATCTTCTAAATAAAGAGAAGAAATATAGTAAGTGTGGTAAGATTCTCGGCATTTGGAACCCAACGAGGAAATTTGAAACCTCCATTACACCTTGATGGCTGACTGGTTGATGGTTGTGACAAATAAACCCAACAAACAATCGTCGATTGAAGAAACGACTTCTTGGCCATTTTATTCAACTGCATGCTTAATAGTACTTGTACTATTTTTAATAATAACTTCTGTTCAGGCTTTGTTCACACAAATCTGGAGAATTTATTCAACGAAAACATTGAACTACTGGTGTTGTATAAGGTATGTCGAGAAGCTTTTATTCGACTTATATGAGTTGTAACAGAGTTTATACGATAAAATTTTGGATTATCATCATTAGACATCACTGCTTCCTTAAAACAGTGATGCTCTGTATACGCTTGATTCTCATGTGAAGTAACGTTTAATTAGACATTATTATACATTTATTAAACGATTATTCAACTGTGGGAAAATTAACCCGAAAATAAGAGGACAGACAGGGGGGACAGGGACAAGGGAAGGGTGTGTGTGTGTTTCTTAAGTGTATTGTATTACAATATTGCTGACCTGGCTCGCACCACACAGATATTAGAAAATTTATTAAATACTTATACATGCCGTTGTATGGGAATCGAACCATGTACCTTCCCGATCACCAGCCGCTTGCCTTGTCATCTGAGCTATCCTAGAATTCATCATATGGGCAACTCAATAATGTATAGAAGCTTGCATGAAAGTAAATACCTATCAGCACTCCTGATCGCAACTCTAGCTCCTTCAAGGCCCTGTGGGAATGATTAATTCATTCATCGTTGTTTTAAATGAGACCAATGTTGCCTCTTCACATCTCCAAGTCGAAAGAAAGGATGCTCGGTTATATTTTAAACTAGATCAATGCATTCATTATCGTGAGTCATGTGATCGATGATTACTATTTAAATTAATTATGTTCTACACAAATAAAAAAAGGGTTGAGCCTGGGATTGAACTCACGACCTTCTGATTGGAAAGCGGAAACGGTAACCACTACTCTACTGATTTCGCCTTGTTGTAAGACTGAATCAGTATTGTCGAATAATGAATCTAATACGTCGTTTATAAAGCATTTACAAATCATGTGATTACAACATGGAAGCATAGTGGTATAAGAGCTATTATGCTGACTGTATTCACCTTTATTCAGCAATATTGTAAAGTAAAGTAATGCAATGAAATCTAATAATGGAGCTAGAAAACATTTATAAGACGTTTAATAAAGCATTTTATTCAATCAATTGAAAACAATCGAATAAAAGCGACAATGTATGTGCAAATTACACTTATTCAGTTTGTCAACTTCTGGTTCTGAATAAGGAAAACAGTCAACGTTTATAAAGCTTTTAATAAGGAAATTAATCATATCAGAGCAAACGGCGGAATAAAGACGCATCTATCGATCTCAATGACCTTTTTTCAGCACATAATTCGACATCCTGTTTTATTCAGGATTGTACACTGTTATACAGCATTTATTCAATGTGTATGCTTATTTGTGACTTTGAATTGTTTGTTGGGAATATTGAATTAATGCATGAATAGATTTACAGATTTGCCAATCGTTTAAAAGCTCACCAACAGCAGCCGTGGACATCAAGGATTAGCCTCGGGATTAGCAAGCAACAACGAAATAAGTACATCCCAGATGGCATGGAATCGAAACCAGAAATTTTGTAGGTACACAGCAAAAAAAAATGTAATATCAATCAATGTAATTCAAGCTGATGTATGAAATAATGATGTAATAGCAAAAATCAGATACAATATTACATCAATGGATGTAATTTTGTTCGCAAAATCGATGTACATCGTACAACGTTATATTACACAACCGATGGATTGACCTGGTTGCAGCAGTTTGGATGTAATATTCAACAACTTTTTTTCTGTGTAAAAAAACACAAATAACCAAATATATCAGTACAGTCAACTTTCGCTCGTTGCACGGAACCGAAAAATTACTCAAAATTAAGTTATTTTCACTCATCTTCCATGTTCCGTTCAATAAGCTAATTTTCAGTAAACCGCTTAAGGTAGTTTACATATGACCAACCGGTGAACACTCGTGTTTATTTCAGTTACCGTGTGGACGTTATTTGTGATGAATCCCGGTCCCTTTCAAATTGTATCATTATTTATGTACGGTCCATATATTTGAAATGACGTTTCACATTCATCTAGTGATAGCCGATTTTCATTCGAATTATCGATTAATCGATTAACGAACCGAAAAGTAAAATATTTGCAATCGGTTATATCATGCCGATATAAGCATTAACTTCTCCAGAGGATCATCACCCATCGTTTCAAGCATGTGCTGCACTCTCATTGGTGGAAAAATGGCAGCACAACGAACAAAAAAAAAAATCGATTAGTTGTTAATCGAGTAATTAAAAAATGGGACATCTCTGATTTTGGTGTGTTTGTTTTGAGCGCAAAATTTCATCTCTACCGAGGGGGAAGCAAAACCACAAAATTACCTAGAATACGAGGGGTATTCAATGGATGAAAGGGACCGTGAAAGAGGACACTAAAATATAAAGTTTTTCTTCCGACAGTTTCATCTTAGTATTCATCTTTGATATGACTACGGCAAAAATAATTACCTACTCGTGAGAATTTTCTACCCAAAATTAAGTTAAATTGACTCAAATTTTGGAATATCTTATGAACACACTAGCTTGGGGGTGCATTACTCGTAAATTCGAGGGGTTGGTCACTCTACACAGTGTGCCAAAATCAAACTTAGGCACACCCGGGTGCAGTCATTGGCGTTGTTTGGCACCCATGGTTACAATTTTTATGATCTTTTAAGTTACTGGCAACACTGAACTTTTTCTGCGCCTGCGCAGTGTGCATGTGCCAAAATTTATTATTGATGTTGCCAGGAGTGACTAAGAGTAGTCAAATTATTTTCAAAACAACCGTGAATCTCCACCAAGTCTCGCCATGGATTGTCAAAATCGTTACATCCATGACGGCAATCGCATCCACATTTCCTCCCAGAAGAAGAACAGCTGACAGCGGTATCTTGACCTGACCGAGGTTTCCGGCCACGGCTACATGAACTAGCGATGCAGCTCCAACGGCTGCGGCTGCTTCCAATGCTGCTGCTTCCAATGCTGCTGCTGGTCCGGCTTTTTTTGACGAATTTTAGAGGAGATGGACCAGCAGAAGGAACAGCAGCAGCAGCATTGGAAGGAGCCGCAGCCGTGGGAGCTGCTTCGCTAATTCGGGTAGCCGTGGCCGACGCTGGAAATCTCGGTCTGGTCACGACAAGCGGTGCTTGAGTTTTAATCGGAAGGTCCAAACAAAAACTATACCATTCAACCATTGGAACTGCTCGAATACATCCATGGCGGTGGCTGCTACACCAACCATTCCATCGTCCAACATTTAATGTTGGAGGACCGTCTTGGCAAAATCTCAAATAGTTCAACAAATTATTTTTACTCTCCTTCCTTTTTGCACTTCTAACTAACACAATAAGAAATTATAATTAACCACTTCATTCGAGCAGATAAAATGACGTTTACTACCACTCGAACTTTGAAATGAAACATTATTTTGAAATTTTTTCTTTTAGGCCGTACGCAATGCTGAGTTTCAAAATTGTTTTAAACAACTCGTCAATTCTATAATTTGAAACTGTCAAAAATAAAACTGCAAGACGATCAGCGCAACGCACAGTTCTAAAAGATGTTTGTAATCATCAAGTTCCATATACTTTACTGTTCTCTATGAAGTTCTCCGTTTTTTGTTTGTGAAGCTCTTCGAAACATCTTTAACGCATCCAAAGAAATTTGAAACAGAGTTCCATTCGTGTTTCAAACTCGCTCAGAAATAAAACAGAATAGTCGAGCAGTTGCAAATCTGGTGCAAAATAGTGCTCGAATAATGAAACTGCAACTCAGCATTGCGAGAGGTGCGTTTCTGTTCTAGTTTCAAATTGAAACAGTCCTTATAAAATACAACAGCATTGCGAACGGCAGAGCCTCGAGAAAAGCAGCCAAAATTTGTGCGTTTCATAAAAAAAATAGAAATTAGTTGGTCCAGTTTTGTGAAATCGCTGGTAGAAAGTCACGCCAAAACTGCTTGACAAAGTGGTCAATTACGAATAAAAAAAAATATACGCAGGAAAATGAAAATACTTTCTTTTCTCAGAAAAAGAAGCTTCCGCTCTTTCAAAGCAATCTTCTTGGAGGAGAAGCACAGCTTCATAATGAACGGGAGTTTTGTACATTTCAGTGCCAACATTTCAAAGGGGCGTAATTGCATTTGTAAACAATGACTTTAGCCATCAATTTCTCGCGAATGAAATCTTACCTCTTCAAAATAACAATGCTAGCTGGTAGAGGAAACATTCCTCTACCTAATGATGTCATTATTTTTCATGAGTGAGCTTTTATTCGCGAGAAATCGATGGCTAAAGCCATTGTTTACAAATGCAATTACGCCCCTTTGAAATGTTGGCACTGATTTGTGATCGATCGCACTGTGGTTGTACTTCATGATGACGTTCACTGCCAGGGCTAAGCTCG